TAAAAAATACTACTTCAAACCCCAGTCAGAACTTAATATCACAGGGGAAAAGGTAGCCTGGACATTAGACTAACAGCTAGTCTAGTAAAAAGTTTTTTAATTAAACTGAAATACAATAAAAAGGAGCCCAGAGACTTTCTTCATTTTCAGAAACTGTGGTAATATAGACTTGCCACACATTCTACACTTGCATGGGCTACATTTGGTATATTTGTTTCAGGGTCTGTAAAACCGACTAGACTTGCCACACATTCTACACTTGCATGGGTTACATTGGGTATATTTGTTTCAGGGTCTGTATAACCGACTAGACTTGCCACACATTCTACACTTGCATGGGCTACATTGGGTATATTTGTTTCAGGGTCTGTAAAACCTACTAGACTTGCCACACATTCTACACTTGCATGGGTTACATTGGGTATATTTGTTTCAGGGTCTGTATAACCGACTAGACTTGCTACACCTTCTAGACTTGCATGAGGTATATTTGTTTCAGCATCTGTATAACCTTCTAGACTTGCATGAGGTATATTTGTTTCAGCGTCTGTATAACCGACTAGACTTGCTACACCTTCTAGACTTGCATGAGGTATATTTGTTTCAGCGTCTGTATCAGCGTCTGTATAACCGACTAGACTTGCTACACCTTCTAGACTTGCATGAGGTATATTTGTTTCAGCATATGTATAACCGACTAGACTTGCTACAACTTCTAGACTAGCATGAGGTATATTTGTTTCAGCATCTGTATATAACCTACAACTTCTAGACTTGCATGAGGTATATTTGTTTATAAGCTAGTCTGTATAACCTAGACTTGCATAGATTTGTTTACATCCTTCTAGACTTTGCATGAGGTATATTTGTTTCAGCATATGTATAACTGACATGAGGTATATTTGTTCTGTGGTCTGTATAACCCACTTGCTACAACTTCTAGACTAGCATGAGGTATATTTGTTTCAGCATCTGTATAACCTTCTAGACTTGCATGAGGTATATTTGTTTCAGCGTCTGTATAACCGACTAGACTTGCTACACCTTCTAGACTTGCATGAGGTATATTTGTTTCAGGATCTGTATGACTGATTAGACTTGCTACACCTTCTAGACTTGCATGAGGTATATTTGTTTCAGGGTCTGTATAACCGATTAGACTTGCTACACCTTCTAGACTTGCATGAGGTATATTTGTTTCAGCATCTGTATAACCTTCTAGACTTGCATGAGGTATATTTGTTTCAGCGTCTGTATAACCGACTAGACTTGCTACACCTTCTAGACTTGCATGAGGTATATTTGTTTCAGCATCTGTATAACCGACTAGACTTGCTACACCTTCTAGACTTGCATGAGGTATATTTGTTTCAGGGTCTGTATAACCGACTAGACTTGCTACACCTTCTAGACTAGCATGAAGTATATTTGTTTCAGCGTGTGTATTACAGATTACCTGGTCATCTAAGGCACTGCATTGTGCTGTGAAGAATTACATACTTTTGGTAGGCACTAACAATTGTGGGTTCGACTCCCATTTGCCTATTTGTACTTCATTGTCTGTCAGCACTATGCCAGTACTCAATGATCTTGACAAAGTGGTAAATGTGTTTTTCATCACACATTCTGACAGTGGTACAACTGGAATCTTTCTATTTAATTTCAGAGAAGATTCATAATGACACTACTAACACTAATACTTATCTTTAATCCTATTACCGAGCACACATAATTTCCTGTTCAGAGTGAGTGATGGAGTTCAGTTTTACCCCACCTTTAGCAATATTCCAACAATATTGTGACGGGGGACACTAGAAATGGTCTGCCATATACTACCAGGGTCTTTGGTGTGCACGAGCGAAAGCTTTAACCACTAGGCTACCCACCACCCCTCCCTATTCAGATGTTTTAATGAAGCCATGTTCTTGCAAAGGAAAGAGTTCTGAGACATATTAATCCCTTTCACTCTTCAACAAAAAGCCATCTGCTTCACAAACGTAATTTTAAAATATTTAAGAAAAAGTACACTTAATCATTCTCAGAGTCCCAACAAAGTTTGAATGATTAAAGCTTTTTTTCATTTCAATAACTCTGGAATTTGTTCAATTTCTTTTTTTCTAGCATTCTTTTTATATAAAAGACCAGCATCTGAAAATACCAGCCACATGAGCCTGCACTATCGAACAAAAACTGGGCAGTCTGCTCCAATCCTGCCAAAAGAGGTAGAAATTGCATTTAGGAGTAGGGAACCTTCAACAAAATCTGAATGGAATTGATTAGCAGGAGAGAGGCATCAAACCAAAATGGCAGCTAATGACATAGCACCAATGTCACATCAAAAGGACTAATTTGCTCATTTTGGTGTGAAAAATAGGAAAATTGACATTGCTCCCTACCAGAACAAGCCTTGTGGGGATGTAACACTATCTGACCATTGGCAAATTCTTCAGATCAGCTGGGTGTTCTAAGTCGCGCAGGACTCTCATGGAGTGTAAATTTCGGAGATCAATAGTGATTGGAAATATTCAATATTGGATGTTTTTATCCCGAAAATTCAAATTAATATTGCGAAATCTTACTTCTGATTGGTGAAAGACAACGATGAGAAACACGACAGTACAAGCATGAAAACCTTCAGTATACAGAGCTTTATTAGATAGCTCTTGGTTATTTGTTATTTTACCCAAGGGTTTTCTTTTGATAGCCATAAGTATTGTGAGTGAGTAAGTTTTAGTTTTATGCTGCTTTTAGCAATATTCCAGCAATATCACAGTGGGGGACACCAGAAATGGGCTTCACACATAGTACTTTAAGTATTTTGACTTGAAATCCTGTTTTGTAGAAATTCCAGTAAATCATTGACCTTTTTAGAAAAGCCAAATATTTTAAAACCCAACATTATTAGAAAGATGTTGTTTTCAGACACACCAGTCAGTGACTGTTTAAAATACACAAACTATAGTCTGTTTGCAGTGAAAACATACTGATGAATTTCACTTTAAATCAAATAAAATGAAAGTATGATTGCGAATAATCATAATTTTACCTTGCCAATTAAACATTTAAATCTCAGCATTTTATTCAACTCAGGATAAAAGTTGTTTAATAAACGATCATAGTTTCAAATCACTATTATTGGTTTGTACTACAAAGGAGTATGCACATTAAATGAAACACCGAAAACAAGTAGGGTTGGTTGAAGTTAACGCTCATCACGAACCGCACATGCATTTGTTTCCACTGTTCCAACTACTGCGCTTACCCCCTTGTAATACAAATCAATAACAGCGATTTGAATCTATGATCGTTTGTGAAACAACTTTTATCCTAAGTTGAATAAAATTCTGAAATATAAATGTTCAGCTGGCAAGGTAAAATTATGAGGATTCGCAATCTAAATTTCCATTTATTTCATTTATTTTTTCGTTTAAAGTGAAATTCATCCATACATTTTCAATGCAAACAGACTATAGACACAATGTACTTTTCAATGGGAACCTACAGGTATTCAGTTAAGTCACATGTTTATCTAATGTAACTGATGTTACATGAATTTTGCAGTCATGACATCTAACACTTGTAATGAATGCACAGTTCTTTCTTTTCCCCAACTGTGAATTGTTTTCATAAATCCAACAACCCAAAGACTATTGATATTATGGATACATTTTCCACATAGCTCTGTCAGACTTTCCAGAACATCATGGAAAGATCAATGGTCAAGGTCACAAGACAGAAAAAGTGTTTAGGTCACAAGAACAGAAAAAGTGTTTATGGTTACAAATTCCTGAAATGCACTGATGCATTTGTCATTAAATTTGCTATATACTTTCTCTAGATAGATAGTCTAAAGTTATGGTCATTATTCAGCTCTTTGGAAAACATTGTCATGACCGTGTCTGTTTCAGAGGATTGCTTTCCTCTACAGTCATGGAACTTCATATAAACAGATCCTTTAGGTCAATCACATTTAAGTAAAATGTCAAGGTAACCTTTAACATATTTGTGCAATGTAGATGTCGATATATTTTTTTAATATGATGCAATATTATTGATATCAGATGACTTATTTCACTAATGAACTCTTTTATCACATACTAAGACCAAGTCAAAGCCCAAGGTTATGAGAATAACTGATCTACTGTACTCCCAAAATATCCCTAAAACAGAGGTTTTTTTATTTTTGTTGATTAGTGTGCAATGTTATCTGAGTATCCTAATGGTAATGGTAATATAACACTATCAATGTGAACTTGAAACGTTTGTCTATTTGATTGTTAATCAATGCCGCACTTACTAGTATTCTAGCTATACTCCAGTGACGGTTTGTAAATAATCAGTTCTGGACCAGACAATCCAGTCATTGACATCACAAGCATTTTTCATAGTTGATATGATAACAAGCATAAATCAAGTCTACATGCCAAGTCAACCAATCACATTAGTCACCTTTCAAAACTGGGTGGCTGAAGAAGAACGATAACTTAGATCTTCATGGGTAGAACTTAAATGAATGACTAATGAACATAAAAAGATTAAAACAAGTGTGACATTGCATAATGAACCAAAATATTGAGCCTTAAGAAGTCCTGGAGGCTGAAAGCTTGTGATTCTGTTTATTTATATATTGAAGATACATGAAGAAAGCTGGAGAGCTTAGTTCCAGATTATATTAAAGAGATACTGATTCTGAGGTAACAGATTAGCACAAATTTCAAAACACAGGTTTATACCTAAGTGAATGACACAGACCAACAAAACTGATATAAAGTTTTCAGTATTAAGGAAAAGGCTCAGGATAATTTTCTTCATACACAAAGAAGCATTGTGGAAAAGAAACAGGTGCTCTTTCTGTTAATACAGAATAAGAAGTGCTATAGCAATCAGGATCTGGTTCCATGAACATATCATATTTTGGTCCATCATGTCTTGAGTGTTGTCATAAGGTTTCTCAAGTCACTGAGTTCGTGCAGTGTAATGGGCATTAACATAGTACTCACTCAGACTTTACAAATGCGTAGTCTCGTATTGCCTCGATGACGGCCTTGAAGGAAATCTTGGAAGTGAGAGTATGTCCATGGTAGATGACAGGCTCATCATTTGGACCATCCCAGCAGTCAACTGGAAACATCAATACAGTAAGTGAGTGAGTGAGTGAGTTTAATTTTACACCACTTTTAGCAATATCCCAGCAATGTCACATTGGGGACAACAGAAATGGGTTTCACAGATTGTACCAATGAGTTGAATAGAACCCGGGTCTTCGGCGTGATGAGCAAATGCTTAACCACTAGGCTACCCCACTGCCCCACATCAATACAGGTATAGAGGTTGTAGGAATTGTTGGTTACACAAAGTGGTCATTGTGGTAAGAAGATCATTGCTTTACATTGGCTTAGTATTGTTGTAGCACTAGGACCACTTTGTGGAACACACACTCATGCATGTGCACACACATACACACAGACAGAAATGTTTGTCTAGTTCGTACTTGACAGTTGACTGTAAACAAATCTAGTAACACCAACCATCTTCATTATAGTACAAGCTTTGCATGGATTTAAACACACTGGAAACTGTAGACATGGAATCTATGTCACATGAATACATTCAAAGACAATTTACAATATGATTACAATCTGGTGTGATCTAATAAAAACAACCTTATGTTCATGTCATTTGACAACTCTCCCAGGATCAAAGCTGAAATAGGTTACTGACTCAAATCAACTGTTTTTCATCCATTTGATTTTTCCCTTTTTGAAAAAGAAATACAATGAAAAAAGCACTTAAAGAATAATATCAAAATCTAATTTGGGAATGTTTTACATGCAAACAACCTTTACATAAAAGGCAATGTTTCCAGTCCAGACAATCTTCTCAAATAATCGTTAACTCATACTGATTGTTAAAATAAACATAATATTATCCTGCGCAATGGTAAGAAGGTAAAAATTGATTTTTTCTAAACCCAATAAATGGTCATTGCTCTACATCTTCACACTACACCTCTCTAATTTAATCCATCCCTGACACAACACCCTCCCTCGCCAAGACATATGAAATTTCTCAAGTCTGGCCTAAGTAAACATCACTAGACAATGACACAAAGACCAGAATTGTAGTTAGCTCAATACCAGAGGTACACGCATGGGAACTTCCGTGTTAAGAATTGCAGTATTCAGACGGCTGATATTTACACCCCTTGAATTTAATCTGAACTGTGATTCCTCAGCATTGTACAAAGCAGTACATTTTCCTCTCTTGTTCTGTAAATAGAGGCTGTGTCTCTCACTGATATCTGTGGCTATCTTGTCACTACCTTGTAGACGAAGCTTCTACACACAGTAGCAGCTTGAGAAAAGTCATTCACCCCTTGTCTATGTCCTTTTTGTTGCTGAACTAAGCAAGATCCTCAACATTAACCCCACAGGGCTTGAAGAATACACTAGGAGATGAATATGACATGTATTACAAATATATGTACATGAAAACAAATATCTATAAGGCAATATAATATCCATACAGCAGTAATCGTTATTTATCATATTCAGTGAAACTATAAGAGAATATATTATTCTCACGACCTGACCCTTGAAAGAACTTCTTATGACCAGCATAATAACTGGCTGCAGATCACTTTAAACATGAAATCCTCACAGAATACCTGATAATAAATTCATGTCACGAAGTACTTACCCTGCATATTGTAGGTCAAACATTAATAGGACCCCAACCCACAAATCACTAAGCAATATATCTCCTGGGAATAATCCTTGGGCAATGAACACCCATCCGTACAAAACCTGTCTTATGAAAACAAAATTTCCCTGCAAAAATACCGAATCAGCTCAGTCATAACATGTTTGTATCAATACAAATAAGCTGCTACTGCACAAAAATCACGTCACAAATCTGACTTGTTCAATCAAATGATCAGCTTGTAGAAGTTGAGGTGTTGTTTTACACTATAACTGCAGTCAGCAAACTTCAAGCACTATCAAGACATCCTGTCAGAACAGAAGTCAGTCATTGACAGCATAAAGGGTGGTCCATGATGTGTGACTCAATGGCGCCCTTGAGACACGGGTGGTCCAATCGTGCAAGGCACAGATTTGCTGTTCACAGTTGCGTCTGTTAAGACATGTGAAAAAATGATCATACTTTCCAATTGCTATTCACATTGATTTCCTTTTCAGTGTTGTCCACAGCTTTCACCAAAGAGATAAGCGTATCTATAAGACCCGCATTACCGTGGGCTTTCCTCCCACATTCACCCCACATGCCATGATATAACCGAAATACTGTGGCGGTAATCACACCTCACATATAGTGATATTACAAACCAAGCATGCTGGGAGCTATTCTACACGAAAACCTCCTGGACTGTAATGCATTTTGTAGCGGGGATTCATGCAGACACCTGCTACTTTTACTGCAATCATCCTCGTCACTAATAAATACATGTTTCACGTACTGAGACGGACGGAATGAACCTGATATTGTAATGAATAACAGACATGGTAATGATTCAATACTTTTATTGTGGCCGGAGTGATCAAGAGAGTGAAGACATATAGTGATATGCAAGCTATAATGTGCCAATCTGTAAATAATTAAGCCTGGACTGGGAGCGTGAGCATTTCTCAACAAAAACTGGGGTCAGTGTTATACAGCCATAAGGCCTCATCCTTTAAAGTGATTGTAGTGATACAATTATGGTAAACCTCTAATAAAGTAAGGACATTATGATCATCTTAGTGCTAAGATAGGTTTTTGGTACAGGGCCCAGAGGTCACCTGACTCTCATGTTTCAGTTTCTTCAAGGGGCGGTCGGGTAGCCTAGTGGTTGAAGCGTTGACTCATCACGCCAAAGACTCTGGTTCGAATCCCCATATGGACACAATGCGTGAAACTCATTTCTAGTGTTCCCCGCCCTGATATTGCTGGAATATTGCTGAAAGCGGCGTAAAACTAAATTCACTCACTCAGTTTCTACAAGCATTGCTACTTACTGTCTCAGAATCACTCTGGAGTCTGGAAAGAGGAAATCTGCATTTCACCCTTCTTTTTCTATCTATCTTGTTAATGTACTTACGTTCAATACACCGACAGCCTTTCTCCAAAGCTCGGATATATCCCTCCACACTTGAGGGTCCCTTCAGCTGATCTTCTAATAGATACCTGCAACAACAGATAGCAAAGCATCAGTATCAAGCTACTAATTCATTATCCTTTCCACTTTGCTTTCGTCCTGATAAAAAAGTTCTAATTCAACAGTGGCCATCTGCACTTTCTACATGTCTGGTTTGCTGCAGGTCCTCTTCAAGCTGAAAAAATCTGCCACAAATAGGCAACTGAAATAAAGGAGATTGAACCACAGCTCTTACTTCGATCGTTTTTGAGAAGTATTTGGAATCTAACACTACATGTCTGAAGTGTCCATAATCTATAAGAGGTAAGCAAATCATTAGCTGTCTGGCAGACAGAGTCAATAAGGACCTAACTTTCAACCAAAATTACAACTGCCTTTTCGCTAAGCTTTCTTAGCTAAGACAAATCTTAGCAACTTCCAACCAAAATTTCAAATGCCTATTCACTATGTGGAATTAGCTTTTGACAAAATCACAAATGCCTATTCACTAAGCAGTCCTGAGACAAATCTTAGCAACGTTTGAATAAAAATTATACTGCCTTGAACCTATCATAACATTATCTTACTTACAACATGAAGGTTAGATAAGACACCAAGTGTGATAGAATACACACAGCTAAAATTATAGCAGCTACAACATTACAACAACTTAGCTTTTAGACAGCTTTGTGAATACGTGACCACAGAACACTGCTCAATGGACTAAAAGGTTATCTCAAATGCCTGGATACATTTTAAGGTCTTAGTATTGATGGCTACTGAAAAGCAAGCTATTGCATAATTCAACATAGCCTATTAGCAGCCAAATAAATAGTTTGTTTACCCAGTACCCCAAAGTTTGTTTGCACGTTTTGTTTGTTATTTAAGGCTTCACTCAGCAATATTTTAGCTTAAAAATGGCTGCCTGAAAAATAATCATAGTCTTGACCAATCAAGTGATTTACATCATGAACATCGATCTCATGCAAAAGAATACCCAGTCTTGAGTATTTCAGAAACAGATTCCATTTGGTGGAAAGGGGAAAATGGCTGTGAAAGCTTTATGAATGAAATAGTAATGGTACATATTCCCCAAAACATTTACACTTGATCAAAACTAGCCATATGAGGATTCTTCACATAGACTACCAATACAAAGCAAAATTAGATTTAGTTTGTTGATTTCAGTGTTTCTGGCACTTGACCATGGCCTAACAATGGACAGTGCTATAAAGTTCAGCTGTTTGTACAACTCATGCTTTTTCTTAAAAAAGAAGAAGAAAGAACCCGCTTGTCTGAATTATGGCAAATATAACTCTATTTGGGATATCTGTACCCAACAGGGATCAAGAGGTCCCTTTTACAACCAAGTTACCCTTTATTATGGCAACTACTCAGAAGTAACAATAATTGACTTCACAAAACTTTGATAAATTTCTTAATTACAATTACGTAAGTAAATTCAATGGATGCCTGACGCATTCCTGCCTATCAAATGATTTCTTACTGTCTCAAGCAAATTTGTACATGACTGAAAATGGTGGCTATATTGTGGCCGGTTGTAGTTTGTGAACTTGTTATTGTCCTTCACTTGGACAATTCTGTACAATGTGCACAAAGTATTTCAGCCTAATGGTCGCTAAACAGAAAGTCGTTTCTTCAACAAACTGCAATGACACAGTTGGTGATTTGTCATCAAATGTCATGGCTAAATGCCTGCAAGATTTACATCTTCCAGAAATTTTACATCTGTGCTTTTGTGTAGTTCATAGGTCAGGACATGTTTTGAACCCTTCCATACAAGTAATTCAGCCAAGCCACACACAAGCATCAAAACAACTCCAGATGATTAGTGGGCAAAAAACTATAAGATCTCCAACATGTTATAATTAAATAGAGTGTCAATCCTGTAATTTAATAAAGTCTCTTATTAATCCATACAACTTCCTACAGAGCAGGAGAGTTGGTTTTTCATGGCTTTGAACAGTTTTTCACTTATATCACAGCAGGGCATCTTGTGTGGGAGTTGAGTGACATTTACCACTTGGGTGAAACAGATGTCATGCCAACAGATAAAGGATGATTATCAGATGACAACTTAGCTTGCAACAAATTGCAGCACCATAGATGACTCACAGTTGAAGACAGATGCATGTGTCACGCTGCTCAAAAATAGTAAACTTCCTACATTTTAAGTGAGTAAATGTTTCCTCTCTTAAAACAAAACTTTCACAAACGACATTACATCAAACAAAACACAAAACAGTGAGGGAGGGAGTGTAATGACACTGTAGTGAACTGAGGATGATGGTTCATGGGATTGGCAACAGCACTGATGATGGTGATGGTGTGCCCAATATGCTTATTTGGTATAGAAAAACAAAGAAATCTTGCACTTTTATTCATTGGAAATACAGATATGCTTTCTATACTTCACATAAAGAACGCCTAAACAAGTTGCTGAAGAAGACATTGATGTTATCTTCAGAAATGCGTCAGTTTTCAATGTTGTTATCAAACTGGTAGAACAGTTTCCTGTGACAAATGCTTCATTACTTGAAATTGTGCTTCAATGAATTAGGAATGAGATTGGTAGATTTGTTACCAGTGTTTGCGCAATGCCCAAGGCAATTGCACAAATCAATTCCATTTTTTCATGGTCCATTACCTCCAGTCGATACATGCAGAGAGAGGCTCAGAGAGTCTTCTTCAACGGAACTCGAAGAAGCAGAAAGGGAAAAGAATATCTAAATGCCATTAAAAAATCGTTACTGACAGGTACTTAGTTTTCAAGCATAGCAAATTACACACACAAAGTTAAATCTTTTCCTATTTTACAAATGTAAGCTTAAAAGGTTCTATTTCTTCTGACACATGCATCTTTGCAGTGTCCAATATCTCTGAAGCTTGCATCAGATCAGCAGCTGCAGAATGACTGGGGTCACAACATGTCAACTTTCATTATTTTCTTTTGTGAGGCATCAGGTATGAGAGAATGTTGTTTATAGAAACAATGTCCTTAAGTTGCATTTGAAAAACTGCATCAATAAAATCTGACGTGGCAAGGCAAGGCAAGTGCTTGATAAGGCAAGGCAAGGGACATACAATCTTTTCCCCCATCAAATAATGTAGGCTGATCTGTGCAAGAGACAACATAGGTTTAACCTATTAACATCCATGGAACTGACTGACTGAGTTTGGTTTTACGCCGCTTTGAGCAATATTCCAGCAACATCACGGCAGGGGACAGCAGAAATGGGCTTCACACATTGTACCCATGTAGGGATTAGAACCGGGTCTTCAGCGTGACGAGCCAACGCTTTAACCATTAGGCTACCCCACCGCCCCCCATGGAACTGAATCAAACTTTGAAAAAACAATTATGTTCCTCTATCAAACCATGTATGCTGACTGTGCAATAGATAACATAGGTACAACCACATTACCATCAAAAGGACTGAGCTAAAGTTTGAACGGCTAAAGTACACTCCACCTCAAGTATAAAAGGGTTCTTGAAGGAAAATGCATCAACTATTGAGATAGCATCCTATGGGTGCAGCACATCATAATTCCTAACATGTATAGGATGGGAAGTCAATACCTGCAGCCCCTAGTGGAGGAGGAGCATGGATGTGTTACTACACTTCTTATACTTGTACAAAGACTGATGAAAGTTCTGTCAATACCCTTCTGGAAGGGAGTGGTATACATGTGATGAAAGGAAAGGTGTACCCTTGGGCATCACACCTTCCTTCCTCATTATAAGTGTTTCCCTCTTCAGATGCATTCACAGCTAAACAGGTAAATGTGCTGGATCACATATCCTGTTGTCCTATTAGGACAGCAGTGTGTGAATTGGGATGAGTGCCACTTTGAACAATATTTCAGTTTGACATGGTCTATTGTGGGAGGAAAGCCCAAAAGTATATATCAGGAGAGATGTGGTTAGGCTTAGCTTTCAAGAGTATTGCACTTGTACAACTTCATGCATGAATGTGTAGGTGTACGAGGCTAATTTACAATCCCGGTTTTATAATACTAATTGTTTGATCAGCATTCTAGAAGATGGCGAGTCAAGAAATGAAGCTTGAAGTTGTCATCCATAAAGTTGTAGTTTCATTTTATAGTACTAGGCCAATGGCATACCATGTCTTGTTTTAACGTGGATTCCCCTCACAGACATAACATACTGACATTAATCCTGGCAGACCTTGTTTTAGACCGAAAATGAAGAGTGCTAGGGGTACCAACATATTTAATGTCTCAAATGACACGTTTGGGAAAAGAACCCCCACCATCAGCTCTTCAGTCAGTGAACATTAGACCACTTGGGATTTGTTAATTTGTTGGCTGTTAAATGCCACACTGTGAGGGGACGAAATCATGAGCATTGATCAATGCAAATGGGATAAGATGCCATTTACCCAGCCAGTGAGCCTGACCAGTGGATCCCTTCAGTCACTTTTTATTGCCTTGGAGTTGGAGACACCAACAGGCACTAGCACAGCAAATACAAATCTGGGATCATAATCAGGGGAAAATGTGTCATACAGACTCATATCAAACAGATCCTGTAAGGCTCTGATGACAACAAACTATTTTCATAAATGACTGCACAACCTCACCATATGATGACAGACTGATCTATTCAATACTAAGCTTCGCTAAGCCTTGATAATTGAAGGAATTATGAAGGCTTCTTGATAAAGGGTGGTCAAGAGCACACAATATCACACCTTTATTCCTCCTAAGAGATAAATTAGATCAGATTTGACAAGCCTTTCATCTCCAAACACCGTTGACATTTTAAAATTGATTCTTCTTGACACAATGGTGTCCTTTCAGTCACCAGTCAATATCAAGCAGTCTGATTGAATTTACCCAACATAGAATATATAGAGGAGCCTGCTGATTCCATTATCCTGGGCAAACTTGGTCCTCACTAGACTCACCCTTGGAGCACAGCATCCTCCAGCACAAACACAATGTTCAAGAGGAGTGTAACATTGGACTATTTCGGTACACTAATTATTTTACAACAGTTTATCGCTAGCTCTGTTTTCTTGCTTTTCTTATCCTTTCAAAGATTTCAAAACTTTACAGCAGGAAAACATGATCATGGAATATTGTCTTGTTTTAAATGGGTATTTTTCATTTGGTTTCCAGGTTTAGTCACTTACTGAAGGATGTTTACAGTGATGTTTATGCTGAGTTGACTGTGTCCCAGACATGACAATGGGGTCCCAGACATGACAACAGGGATCCAGGACATGACAATGGGGATCCAGGACATGACAATGGGTTCCAGACATGATAACAGGGGTCTCAAACATGATACCTACAGTCCCAGACATGACAATGCGGCTCCAGACATGATAATGGGGATCTCAAACATGATCATGGGGGTTCCAGACATGAGATGGGGTCCCAGACATGATAATGGGGTCCAGATATGACAAAGGGGTTCCAGACATGACAAGGGGGTCTAAGACATGATAATGGGGGTTCCAGACATGACAAAGGTGTCCCAGACATGATAATGGGGTCCCAGACATGATAATGGTGTCCCAGACAAGATAATGGGGGTTCCAGACATGACAATGGTGTTCCAGACATGATAATGGTGTCCCAGACAAGATAATGGTGTTTCCAGACATGACAATAGTGTCCCAGACATGATAATGGGGGTTCCAGACATGACAATGGTGTTCCAGACATGAGACAGGGGCCCAAGACATGATAATGGGGGTTCCAGACATGACAATGGTGTTCCAGACATGAGACAGGGGCCCAAGACATGACAATGGTGTTCCAGACATGAGACAGGGGCCCAAGACATGACAATGGTGTTCCAGACATGAGACAGGGGCCCAAGACATGATAATGGGGGTTCCAGACATGACTATTGTGTCCCAAACATGATAATGGGGGTTCCAGACATGACAATGGTGCCCCAGACATGATAATGGGGGTCCAAGACATGGTAATGGGGGTTCCAGACATGATTATTGTGTCCCAAACATGATAATGGGGGTTCCAGACATGACAATGGTGCCCCAGACATGATAATGGGGGTCCAAGACATGAGATGAGGGTTAACAGGGGTTCTAGACATGATAATGGTAGTCTAAGACATGACAACAGGGGTCCATGACAAGACCATGACTACTTTGCCAACAACAGCAACTCACAGATGAAATATGTCAACCTTTACATGATTTTGGGATGGATTTTTCTTGCTGAACCTTACTGACCAAAGTCACGTTGATCGAACATAATGGAATTTAACAACCTTTATCTCTACAACACAGTACATAACGAACTGTAATTTTCTTACACACTATGTGACTTGCAGTGCAAATTTGTATGCATCCATTCCTAATTTTAAGACATCAAATCAGTCTGATCGAATCTTGCGATCAATGCAGCATCTTCTATATCTGCCATGAGATGTAGGGTATTGCTGTCATTTGTGGCAGCAAATATACCCCATATCTATGGCACTGACATACACATTCAGTAATAACAGAACCTCAGTGGGGCTTAAGGGATTCAGAATAGGAGCCTTATGAACCTATGCTCCGTGTTCACGAATGGTGTTTCAAAGTAACAGGACATTGGGTCCTGTAAGTTTCAGATGTCTGTCCGACCCATTGAAAATTCAAAGGACCCATAGAATAAAATTAAACACACATTTCAGATTTAACATTTCTTATAATTGGCACTGAAATTATTTATTAACAGCAAACAAGTGTCACATGTCACATATAACCACTTCAGTCAAAGTCATTGTGAAACATACAGTCAGACACTGGGGCCCGGTGGGTTGTAGACTTCTATCTGACAGTTGGCGAATCTGCCTGATTTGTCAGAGGGTCAGACGCTATTCGTGAACACTGTATGCTTGCCATAAGATGGGACCAAACTGACCACTGGTCAGTCTTACTGACTTGGTGAAAAGCCTGTCATTGTAACCTGATTGTATGGATCAATGTTTACAATATCATCACGGGATTGTCTGGACCTGATTATTTGTCATGCGAGGTGATAAATCGAAAATATAAATTGTTGATGATACTGTTTCAGGTGTGACATGATGCAATCACTGGATTGTCTGGTCCAGACATGTCCTGACTCATTGGCCAAGAGCTATATTTACAGACCACAGTCAAATATGTAATATTGTTAAGTGTGGCCTTAACAACAACCATTGTTGATGACACTGTTTTAGGTGTGCATGATGTCCATCACTGGATAGTCTGGTCCACACTTGATATTTACAGACTGGAGTGAAATAACAGAAAGTGAAGCATTAACAACAACCATTGTTGATGATTCTGTTCTGGTGTATATGATACAAGGGCTGTTCAATAAGTAATGGCAACAACAGTGTAAAAACATACTGCATTAACATACAAAGTTGAGATTTTCACAACCCTTCGAAGTACTCCCCTCCTCTCTCTATGCATAATTTGAGGATTTTGGTCGCATCTTCAGAAAATTGTGATCTCATGAAAATATAGAAGCGAAGGTTCTCCTTGCTGAACTCCATATTTTTTAATCACAGTTATGACATCACATTGTGACATCATAACCACTTTTCATATTGGATATGATGTCACAAAATTTAGTCAGTTGATTAGAGGCTTTCCATAGCTGCTAAATGTGCAGAGGTTACATTTGATATATAGATATGATAATGGAGTTGCCATTACTTGTTGAACAGCCCTCTGGCCATCACTGGATAGTCTGGTCCAGACCTAATTATTTACAGACAATAGTCAAATATGTAACAATATTGAGTGCAGCATTAACAACAACCATTGTTGATGACACTGTTTCAGGTGTACATGTTTTCCCTGCATGACAAGGCAAGTAGCTGGAGCAGGTTTGAGGGCCACCACAGTGGTCATGGTGGGCTGTGTCAGTTCAGACAAAGTGACCGGCTTATCTTCATTTACACGGACATGTTATAGTGAAAATTAATTCAGACCAAGCAAGATGTAAAGACAGTGTCTAGGTCGTCTTGACCCAATACTTACGTGTTATGCGAACTGGCAATGAAATAATGACTTAGAGGCTGTGTCATGTCGTGGCAGACTTTTTTTTATGCATTGGGTCAAAAATATCACATTCGTCAGACAAGAGGTATTCCGTGAAACCTGAAAGACAAAAACCAAAGACATTAGCAAAGACTGCAGAGATACAAACATACCCCCTAATACCTAAAAAGCCTTGTTACACACACTCGTTCCTATAGTGAATGACTATTGTTTTATGTCCCTTTCTGTCTGGCATCATCTTTGAAATATCTTTTAATATGTCTCATTTCAATCAATCATTCTTTTCAGACAAAACAGGAGCAGCAACAGAAGTATTTTATATGATGAAATACAACAGTAAATTCCCTGTTCACATCATAGACACATGCACCCATAATTAAGTTCAATGTGAATAAAATAGTTCAAGGGCAATACAATACAGGATAAAACATGACCAGTGTTTCCGTTTACCGGCATATGCCGGTATTTTACCGGTAAAAAAATCAAAGGACCGGCATATTTATGGCAAACAAGTCCTGGGGACCGGCAATAAATACACCCGGTTAAATCATTTCCTCCAAATTGGCAATACAAATTACCAGCAACTGTTAGATTAAAGGAAACTTCCATGTAAATTCGATCTGCACCATATGCGATACGTGTAAGGAATTCCGTGTCTATTTTTAGTAACAGTCCCAAGCGATTATTGTCATTGGCTGGTCGTCTCGCTTAGCCTCGATCCAGATGAGAGGCATTTTGGCGTGAGGTTATAATGCATCAGATTTCAATACTCTATCGGGGCCAATAGTAAGAAAACTTTACTATGGGGAATGGACATATTAACTCTTTCAACACCAGTCAACCAGAGGCATTTAGTGCCATGACACCGAGTTCCCAGAGACTCTGAGGTCACAGATGAAGCCTATGTTTATGAAGGAAATTATAAGCTTGTAAAACGTTATTGCTACTACATCCCATACACCATTTAAAAGATCTAATCCTACTGTTGATAAATATGAAGTTTATTTTTATAATATTATTCAAATAATACAACTACAACTTAAATAAAATAATTTTTTAATGAAAATGCAAGCTTACATTTATAACCTCCCGATAAAACCACGAAGGAAGCAAAACTATGGCGATTATTTTCAATTTGTGACATGTCATAACATGTCCGTACCTTTTTCTTTCATATTTTCATTTTACGTAATCAGAAAATTATTATAAAAGATTTCTTAAATAATATGTATGGTCGCCTATTTCCCTATATCTGTGGCTTTCCGCCGGTAACATGACATAACAACGAAAATACCTCCGTTTTCGAAGCTTCCGTATGAAAAACATGGGAGGCTTAATCGTTTGATGTCGGGTATCGCTCCAAAGCTCTGAACCTCAACAACATCACTGAACCCTTGCCGAGTATTTTCACAGTTGTAAGAAGCGATTTTATTGATAAAATTGGTTTCTAATGACGCTTTTCGCCACAGTCTGCTTTTATGGTCGTGGATTGGTCAAAATCAGACACGGACATGAGGCAGCCAATCATATTACGGCAATGGATACCGCCTCAGTAAACTAAAAATCTCCAGATTTAGACGAAAGTTTTAGGTAAAATATCGCTATTTTGAACATATTAAGCAAGAAATCGCTACATATACGTAAATTATGGAACCGATTGGACGTATCGCGTGCTAGGTTATGACCTATGACAAAATGCTTCATGTACATATTTTCGTGATTAAACATAAATTGTCCGAAGCGTGAAGATTGAGGCGGCGAGAGCCGAGATGTCAGTTGTCAGTGACTTGACTTACATTACATGATCGCACAAAAAATGGAAATAGTAATTTTATATGTATCGTTTGATAACTTTTATGAATGCTATTGTTGATTTTATTCATTAGTTTATTCAATTTATTTAATGAATTCCTCGAAACATCGTTACTTTGCTCTTTGACAACGCTATTGTGGACCCGCTGTCAAGCATGTGTCCGAGAATCGTTGTTTTCAATAACATTGCTAAAAATAGTTTATAATTTTAATTCTGCTGATAATATATGATAAATTGAAATTTAATAAGTGTTTTCAGACATTGTGAAATGTGATAGATATAATATATGAATCATAAGTCAGGTAGGTTCCTGAAATTATGTCTGATTTTGACGTGACTACTGCCTGGCCGCTTAAGCGGCCTGCGGTGTCTGGGGACTCATAACGTTGTGGCCGCTTAAGCGGCCTGCGGTGTTGAAAGGGTTAAGAGACCATTCATAGTGTATGGCTACGGTGTTGATGATGATTTTAAGAGGGGCTGTCACCCATTTTGTTCTTGGGAGGCAGGGGGGTCAACAATTCTGTACACATATACTGGGGGGGAGTAAGCAATTTTGTACATAAAAATATTAAGCTTGGAAATTGTGGGGAGGGACGGAGGTCACTGATTTTGTACAAGATTTGCAAGGTGGGGAAATCACATAATTTGTAATGTGATATTTTAGGGGGCCATTCACATTGTTCATGCTTCTTTAAAAATCATCATCACCCCCTTGCTCTAAATTATGAACGGTCCCTAAGTTTTCAGTTTGAAAATGGCGGCCTCAAAGCAGACGACGCTTTCCTGGGCTCTTTTGGTTCTAAACGAAAATTAGACGTAAAACGAGAAACAATCAACTTCCAGCAAAACAGTATGTGAAACAAAATCCAAAAGTCCAGAAAATTCAATACCGACTGGAAAGAGGAGTTTCCATGGCTCGATATGACAATCAAAAGCAGTCGGGGCGGTGCTATGTTTTGTCGAATTTGTGAGGCTGCGCTAAAATAAACGGCTTTACAAAAGGCTGTATCAATTTCCAAAATCTGCCCTTAAAGAGCACCGCAGGACAGCGCTAGCCATCATGAAGCAGTGGTTCGCTTATCTCAAAAGAAGGCTATGGAATCTCACATTAGTGATATTCAGACGAAAAAATGATGATAGCTTGACTGCTATGATGCGCACAGTTTTATATATGGCTAAGGAAAATGTACCAAGAAACAAGTTCAAGGGGCTTATTGACCTACAGAAGAGAAATGGCTGTTCATCTTTAAGTGGAGTTATATACTCACATTCTGATTCAATTGACGAAATGGAAGAAGCATTAACTGAGTGTACCATTGGAGAATCTTAAACAGAAATTGTCGCGAAAAGTCGGTTTGTCGGGCTAATCATGGATGAAACTGTGAACGTAACTGTGGAAAAAAACTCATCATGTTTGCTCGCTTAGTACACCATGGAAAAGCAGAGACTATCTTTTTAGGAAATTTCACAGTGCACAGCGGTAATGCGGGAGTGCATCGCTGAGAAAGTACGACAGGTAGCTGACCAATGGGGCATTCCACTCGAAAAATCATTGGTTTGGGAACTGACGGTGCCAGTGTCATGACAGGTCGGGAAATGACCACAGTGTTTCCGTGAGTTTCGAATTTACCAGTCCATGGGACTGGTAAGCCCTCAAATATACCAGTCCCTTATTATTTTCACCAGTCCACTTCTTTCCATGTTAAATAAAGATAACAACAAGAATGTGTGTGTGTGTTTGTGTTTCATTTTTAACTCTTTCAACACCAGTCAACCAGAGGCATTTACTGCCGTGACACCGAGTTCCTAGAGACCCTGAGGTCATAGATGAAGCCTATGTTTATGATGAAGGAAATTATGTTTGTAAAACGCTATTGCTACTACATCCCATACACCATTTAAAAAGATCTAATCCTACTGTTGATAAATATGAAGTTTATTTTTATAATATTATTCAAATAATACAACTACAACTTAAATAAATGTATTTTGAATGAAAATGCAAGCTTACATTTATAACGCCCAGATAAACCAACTTAAAAAAGCAAAAACTATGGCGATTTTTTCCATTTGTGACATGTGATAACATGTCCGCGGCCTTTTCTTTATATTTTCATTTTTACGCCATCAGAAAATGATTATTAAAAAAGATTTCTTAAATAATATGTATGGTCAGCTTCTATTTCCCCCGACATCTGTGGCTTCCTCCGCCGGTAATATGACATAACAACGGAAAATACCTCGCGCTAAGCTTCAGATGCATAACATGGTACGCGAATCGCTTGATGTCGGGCATCGCTCAAAAGCTCCTCATGGCTCTGGAACATCAACAATATCACTGTACCCTTGCCAAGAGTATTTTCACAGTTGTAAGAAGCGATTTTATTGATAAAGATTGGTTTCTAATGACGCTTTTCGCCACAGTCTGCTATAAGGGTCGTGGTTGGTCAAAATCAGACAAGTGGACCTAAGGCAGCCAATCATATTACAGTAATGGATACCGGCCCTCGTAAAACGTAAAACCTTCAGATTTAGACAAAAGTTTTGGGTAAAATAATGCTATTCTGAACATATTAAGCAAGAAATCGCTACCTGTACGTGAAATTATGGAACTTATATTGACGATCGCTAGGTTATGACCTGTGACAAAAAATGCTTCATGTATATATTTTCGCATTAAACATCGTGGTCCGAAAGCTTGAAGATTGAGGGCGAGAGCCGAGATGTCACTTGCCAGTGACTTGACTTGCATTACATGATCGCACAAAAAAGATGGAAATAGTAATTTTATATGTACGCTTGACAACTTTTATGAATGTTGTTGTTGATTTTATTCATTAGTTTATTCAATTTATTTAATGAATTCCTCTAAACATCGCTATTTTGCTTTTTGACAATGTTATTGTAGACCCGCTGTCAAGCATGTGTCCGAGAATCGCTTGTTTTCAAGAACATTGCAAAAAATAGTTTATAATTTTAATTCTGCTGATAATATATGATAAATTGAAATTTAATAAGTGTTTTCAGACATTGTGAAATGTGATAGATTTGATATATGAATTTAAAAAGTCAGGTAGGTTCCTAAAATTATGTCTCATTTTGACGCGACTACTGCCTGGCCGATTAATCGGCCTCCCGTGTCTGGGGACTCATAACGCTGTGGCCGATTATTCGCCTGCGGTGTTGAAAGGGTTAAAAGTGCAGGAAGTTCATTCAGATGTATTTCAAAACTTATGATCAGTAATTGTTATAAAACACTGCTTTCCAAAGAGGTGGGGAAATGACC